CTGATAGTTTTCACAATATAATCGACGTTTGCAACTAGCGTCCATTGACTTTCGATTGAAACTTCACTCTGCTACAAAGCTCAAATTTGAAGTGCAATTTCTAAACTGCGACTGTGCCTTCAATTTTAATACTTCAGAGACATACTATGCATCAAAATGTAGGTCTGGGTCTTGTGATTCTCACGGCCACTAAAAAGCTCTTCACTGTAGGAGTTATAGTTTTAAGATACGACCGTTTGAAGATGGCAACCGCCAAAATACTCTGACCTGTGTCAAGCTGCAGCAGCAAGTGATGTCATAGACAGGGCCTTTTTAACACCTGCCAATGTTTTTATAAATGTATGGTTAATGTAACTGTGCAACAACGTTGCAATTAAATGTGCTATGTAAATGATAACAATTACTCCGCCCACTCCAGTTGTAGACTACAGGTGGAAGCAAGAACACTTCACACAATTTCCCCAGAAATTGTAACTTTTCTAGTTATTATTATTATTCTTATTATAGCAAAATTTGCCACCCTAACTCCTCCCACAGTTTTTACACTACATAGACCAAAATTTACCAAAACGTGCAGATTGTTCCCGATGGGATTGCTATTACTTTGTGGAACGTTTCGCCGAATGGTTCACGGAATATCGTCGTTTTTGTGGCGCAATTTGTCCCTTAGGAATGAATGGCAAAGCTAGAGTGGGAGCTGCCAAAAGCTGAAAAATCAGGACATGATTTCTAAACTGCCACCACTCCCTTATTTTCAGGCCCACCTACACAAATCTTATATCAAAACGTTCAGCTATCCCTGCTGCCACTAAACATGTCAACGGCTAAGCCGTAGTCCTGATAATTTTCACAATATGACCATTTGTTTGCAACCAACGCCGTCCATTGACATTCATTGAAACTTCACTCTGCAAAACTCAAATTTGAAGTGCAATTTCTAAACTGCGACTGTGCCTTCAATTTTAATACTTCAGAGACATACTATGCATCAAAATGTAGGTCTGGGTCTTGTGATTCTCACAATATAAAGCTCTTCGCTGTAGGATTTATAGTTTTTAAAATATGACCGTTTGAAGATGGCAACTACCAAAATACTCTGACCTGTCAAGGCTGCAGCAGCAAGTGATGTCATAGACAGGGCCTTTTGAACACCTGCTAATGGTTTTATAAATGTATGGTTTAATGTAACTGTGCAACAATGTTGCAATTGAATGTGCTATATAAATGATAATAGTTACTCCGCCCACTCCAGTTGTAGACTCCTGTTGGAGGCAAGAACACTTCACACAATTTCCCCAGAAATTGTAGCTTTTCTAGTTATTAAGTGTTCTTGCAAAGCAAGACCACTTAATGTTATCTCACATATATATTATTATTATTAAGTGTTCTTGCATAGCAAGACCACTTAATGTTATCTCACATATATATTATTATTAAGTGTTCTTGCATAGCAAGACCACTTAATGTTATCTCACATATATATTATTATTATTATTATAGCAAAATTTGCCACCCTAACTCCTCCCACAGTTTGTACACTACATAGACAAAAATTTACCAAAACATGCAGATTGTTCCCGATCGGATTGCTATTACTTTGTGGAACGCTTCGCCAAATGGTTCACGGAATATCGTCGTTCTTGTGGCGAAATTTGTCCCATAGGAATGAATGGCAAAGCTAGAGTGGGAGCTGGCAAAAGCTGAAAAATCAGGACATGATTTCTAAACTGCCAGCACTCCCTTATTTTCAGGCCCACCTACACAAATCTTATGTCAAAATGTTCAGCTATCCCTGCTGCCACTAAACATGTCAACGGCTAAGCCATAGTACTGATAGTTTTCACAATATAATCATTTGTTTGCAACTAACGCCGTCCATTGACTTTCATTGAAACTTCACTCTGCAAAGCTCAAATTTGAAGTGCAATTTCTAAACTGCGACTGTGCCTTCAATTTTAATACTTCAGAGACATACTATGCATCAAAATGTAGGTCTGGGTCTTGTGATTCTCACAATATAAAGCTCTTCGCTGTAGGATTTATAGTTTTTAAAATACGACCGTTTGAAGATGGCAACCGCCAAAATACTCTGACCTGTGTCAGGCTGCAGCAGCAAGTGATGTCATAGACAGGGCCTTTTGAACACCTGCTAATGTTTTATAAATGTATGGTTTAATGTAACTGTGCAACAACGTTGCAATTAAATGTGCTATATAAATGATAACAGTTACTCCGCCCACTCCAGTTGTAGACTACTGGTGGAGGCAAGAACACTTCACACAATTTCCCCAGAAATTGTAGCTTTTCTAGTTATTATTATTATTATTATAGCAAAATTTGCCACCCTAACTCCTCCCACAGTTTTTACACTACATAGACAAAAAATTTACCAAAACGTGCAGATTGTTCCCGATCGGATTGCTATTACTTTGTGGAACGTTTCGCCGAATGGTTCACGGAATATCGTCGTTCTTGTGGCGAAATTTGTCCCATAGGAATGAATGGCAAAGCTAGAGTGGGAGCTGGCAAAAGCTGAAAAATCAGGACATGATTTCTAAACTGCCACCACTCCCTTATTTTCAGGCCCACCTACACAAATCTTATATCAAAACGTTCAGCTATCCCTGCTGCCACTAAACATGTCAACGGCTAAGCCATAGTCCTGATAGTTTTCACAATATAATCATTTGTTTGCAACTAACGCCGTCCATTGACTTTCATTGAAACTTCACTCTGCAAAGCTCAAATTTGAAGTGCAAATTCTAAACTGCGACTGTGCCTTCAATTTTAATACTTCAGAGACATACTATGCATCAAAATGTAGGTCTGGGTCTTGTGATTCTCACAATATAAAGCTCTTCACTGTAGGAGTTATAGTTTTTAAGATACGACCGTTTGAAGATGGCAACCGCCAAAATACTCTGACCTGTGTCAAGCTGCAGCAGCAAGTGATGTCATAGACAGGGCCTTTTGAACACCTGCTAATGTTTTTATAAATGTATGGTTTAATGTAACTGAGCAACAACGTTGCAATTAAATGTGCTATGTAAATGATAACAGCTACTCCGCCTACCCAGTTGTAGACTACTGGTGGAGGCAAGAATACTTACACACAATTTCCCAGAAATTGTAGCCAGCTTAGTCCAGTTATTATTATTATTATAGCAAAAATTTGCCAGTTCAATCCCTCCTTACAAAGTTTTACAATTACAGACAGTTTTTACACTACATAGACAAAAATTTACCAAAAAGATTGTTCCCATCGATTGTTACTTTGTGGAACGTTTCGCCGAATGGTTCACGGAATATCGTCGTTTTTGTGGCGCAATTTGTCCCATAGGAATGAATGGCAAAGCTAGAGTGGGAGCTGCCAAAAGCTGAAAAATCAGGACATGATTTCTAAACTGCCACCACTCCCTTATTTTCAGGCCCACCTACACAAATCTTATATCAAAACGTTCAGCTATCCCTGCTGCCACTAAACATGTCAACGGCTAAGCCGTAGTCCTGATAGTTTTCACAATATAATCATTTGTTTGCAACTAACGCCGTCCATTGACTTTCATTGAAACTTCACTCTGCAAAGCTCAAATTTGAAGTGCAATTTCTAAACTGCGACTGTGCCTTCAATTTTAATACTTCAGAGACATACTATGCATCTAAATGTAGGTCTGGGTCTTGTGATTCTCACAATATAAAGCTCTTCGCTGTAGGATTTATAGTTTTTAAAATACGACCGTTTGAAGATGGCAACCGCCAAAATACTCTGACCTGTGTCAGGCTGCAGCAGCAAGTGATGTCATAGACAGGGCCTTTTGAACACCTGCTAATGTTTTTATAAATGTATGGTTTAATGTAACTGTGCAACAACGTTGCAATTAAATGTGTTATGTAAATGATAACAGTTACTCCGCCCACTCCAGTTGTAGACTACAGGTGGAGGCAAGAACACTTCACACAATTTCCCCAGAAATTGTAACTTTTCTAGTTATTATTATTATTATTATAGCAAAATTTGCCACCCTAACTCCTCCCACAGTTTTACACTACATAGACCAAAATTTACCAAAACGTGCAGATTGTTCCCGATCGGATTGCTATTACTTTGTGGAACGTTTCGCCGAATGGTTCACGGAATATCGTCGTTCTTGTGGCGAAATTTGTCCCATAGGAATGAATGGCAAAGCTAGAGTGGGAGCTGGCAAAAAGCTGAAAAATCAGGACATGATTTCTAAACTGCCACCACTCCCTTATTTTCAGGCCCACCTACACAAATCTTATATCAAAACGTTCAGCTATCCCTCCTGCCACTAAACATGTCAACGGCTAAGCCGTAGTCCTGATAGTTTTCACAATATAATCATTTGTTTGCAACTAACGCCGTCCATTGACATTCATTGAAACTTCACTCTGCAAAGCTCAAATTTGAAGTGCAATTTCTAAACTGCGACAGTGCCTTCAATTTTAATACTTCAGAGACATACTATGCATCAAAATGTAGGTCTGGGTCTTGTGATTCTCACAATATAAAGCTCTTCGCTGTAGGAGTTATAGTTTTTAAGATACGACCGTTTGAAGATGGCAACCGCCAAAATACTCTGACCTGTGTCAAGCTGCAGCAGCAAGTGATGTCATAGACAGGGCCTTTTGAACACCTGCTAATGTTTTTATAAATGTATGGTTTAATGTAACTGTGCAACAACGTTGCAATTAAATGTGTTATGTAAATGATAACAGTTACTCCGCCCACTCCAGTTGTAGACTACAGGTGGAGGCAAGAACACTTCACACAATTTCCCCAGAAATTGTAACTTTTCTAGTTATTATTATTATTATTATAGCAAAATTTGCCACCCTAACTCCTCCCACAGTTTTTACACTACATAGACAAAAACTTACCAAAACGTGCAGATTGTTCCCGATCGGATTGCTATTACTTTGTGGAACGTTTCGCCGAATGGTTCACGGAATATCGTCGTTCTTGTGGCGAAATTTGTCCCATGGGAATGAATGGCAAAGCTAGAGTGGGAGCTGGCAAAAGCTGAAAAATCAGGACATGATTTCTAAACTGCCACCACTCCCTCATTTCCAAGCCCACCTACACAAATCTTATATCAAAACGTTCAGCTATCCCTCCTGCCACTAAACATGTCAACGGCTTAGCCATAGTCCTGATAGTTTTCACAATATAATCATTTGTTTGCAACTAACGCCGTCCATTGACTTTCATTGAAACTTCACTCTGCAAAGCTCAAATTTGAAGTGCAATTTCTAAACTGCGACTGTGCCTTCAATTTTAATACTTCAGAGACATACTATGCATCAAATGTAGGTCTGGGTCTTGTGATTCTCACAATATAAAGCTCTTCACTGTAGGAGTTATAGTTTTTAAGATACGACCGTTTGAAGATGGCAACCGCCAAAATACTCTGACCTGTGTCAAGCTGCAGCAGCAAGTGATGTCATAGACAGGGCCTTTTGAACACCTGCTAATGTTTTTATAAATGTATGGTTTAATGTAACTGTGCAACAACGTTGCAATTAAATGTGCTATGTAAATGATAACAGTTACTCCGCCCACTCCAGTTGTAGACTACAGGTGGAGGCAAGAACACTTCACACAATTTCACCTGAAATTGTAACTTTTCTAGTATTATTATTATTATTATTATAGCCAAATTTACCACCCTAACTTCTCCCACTGTTTTTACACTACATAGACAGTAATATACCGAAACGTGCGGATTGTTCCCGATTGGTGTGCTATTACTTTTTGGAACGTTTCGGCAAATGGTTCACGGAATATCGTAGTTTTTGTGGCAAAATTGGTCCCTTGGAATGAATGGCAAAATGTTCAAAACTAGAGTGGGAGCTGACAAAAGCTGAAAAATCTGGACATGATTTCTAAACTGCCACCACTCCCTCTACCCACCTACACAAATATTATATCAAAACGTTCAACTATCACTGCTGCCACTAAAGATGCCAACGGCTAAGCCATAGTCCTGATAGTTTTCACAATATGACCATTTGTTTGCAACTCACGCGGTCCATTGACATTCATTGAAACTCCATTCTAGCCACCTAATATCGTAAGGGCAATATCTAAACTGTGACTGTGCCTTCATTTTTAATATTTTAGAGACATACTTTGCATCAAAATGTAGGTCTGGGTCTTGTGATTCTCATAATATAAAGCTATTCGCTGTAGGATATATAGTTTTTAAAATACGACCGTCTGAAGAATGAAAAGTAATTAGAAGAGGCAAAATACTCTGACCTGTGCCACGCTGGAGCAGCAAAGAAAGATGAAGTGATGTCATAGATAGAGTTGAGCGGACACCTGGATGTTCGGGTCCGGCGGGTTCGGTCGAACTTTGAAAAAAGGTCCGGGTTCGGGTTCGGGCTCGATGGGGACCTGAACTTTTGGCCACAAAAATGCCTCTAAAAAACTTCTGGAAAGGGCTAGAGATCTGCAAAAGGAAGTAAATGGGGGTCAAGAGTAGGACAAGTGCCTTGCAAACAAATGTGGATAGGGAAATTACTTAAAATAACATAAAAATTAAAAATACAGCTGATCCATAAAATAGCACTAGATGGAATCTTTGATTTTAGCTTTGGAAGAACATAAATCAAAATCTAAAGCATGGCTGTCAGGAGGATCACCAGAATTGTCCATTTGAGAGAGGGTTGGAGTGCAGGTTATTCTCTTTCATTGTTCAAACTGAGCTCAACTCCTGATGCATGGAGAAAAGGCCTTCACAAGCCTCTGCTAATGTGTACATAGTATATACTAAGTGACCCATAGGTTGAGGAGGCGGTGACCGTGGCGGTGTAGGTGGAAGCGGTGGAGGAGGTAGCCAACGCTAGGTTTTTTTTTGTTTTTTTTTATTGGGGTAGCCCCCAAAATATTGGGACATATAAAAAAAGAAAACAAAGAATAAGTGCACTCGAGTATAACAATGGCTGGGTGAGGCCGGTATAAATGTCTATTCTGCAAAAGGTACAGACAAGTCTGGTGGGATCCATGCCTGGTTCATTTTAATAAATGTGAGCTTCTCCACATTGGCTGTGGACAGGCGGCTGCGCTTGTCTGTGATAACGCCCCCTGCCGTGCTAAACAAACGTCCAGACAATACACTGGCTGCAGGGCAGGCCAGCACCTCCAAGGCATAAAGGGCAAGCTCAGGCAAGGTGCCTAATTTGGAGACCCAGAAGTTGAATGGGGCAGACCCATCAGTCAGTACATGTAGGCGTGTGCACACGTACTGTTCCACCATGTTGCTGAAATGATGCCTCCTGTTAAGACGCTCAATATCATATGGTGGTGCTGGTTGTTGTGATGTGCTGACAAAGCTTTTCCACATTTCAGCCATGCTAACCCTGCCTTCTGAGGTGCTGGCGGTACCCCAGCTGCGTTGGCGACCTCTTCTTCCTCCTCTGCCTTTGCCTTGTGTTTCCACTGAGCCCCGGTGTCAGTTGGGAATGCCCTCAGCAGCCCGTCTACCAGCATGCGCTTGTAGTCGCGCATCTTCCGATCATGCTCCAGTGAGGGAATTAAGGACGGCACGTTGTCCTTGTAACGGGGATCCAGCAGGGTGGCCACCCAGTAATCAGTACAAGTTAGAATGTGTGTAACTCGGCAGTCGTTGCGCAGGCACTGCAGCATGTCAGCCATCCAATCTACTATCGCCTGTACTTATTCTGGCCTCACCATTCGTAGACCGGTATTCGGGCCTACCAAATAACGCTGAAGGTTCTGTCGCGTACTCGCACATGAGAAAGGTGTTTCACTTGTGCGTGTAGCAGATGTTTTATGTCAGGCGACAATGTAACCGCCAACAGTCAAAAATTATTTTTTTTTTAGTTTATTGGACTGCAAGAAATGCACCGCAGGCCGCAAATGTACTATTTAGCACCCAAAAAATTATAATTTTTGAAAGTGCACTGTAAGCACACTATTAGATGCTTCTATTTGACTCTCAGATATGAAGTGCAGTCCGCAAATGTACTACTTAGCAGATTAGCACCCAGAAAATAAGAATGTTTAGCACTGCGCTGTAAGGACACTATTAGACGCTTCTATTTGACTCTCACATATGAAAAGCAGGCCCCAAAATTTACTATTTAGCAGATTAGCACCCAGAAAATTAGAATTTTTACAATTCGCTGTAAGCACACTATTAGACGCTTCTATCTGACTCTCAGATGTTAAATGCAGTCCGCAAATGTACTATTTAGCAGATTAGCACCCAGAAAATAAGAATGTTTACCACTGCGCTGTAAGCACACTTTTAGACGCTTCTATTTGACTCTCATATATGAATTGCACGCTCCAAAATGTACTATTTACCAGATTAGCACCCAGAAAATAAGAATTTTTACAACTGCGCTGTAAGCACACTATTAGACGCTTCTATTTGACTCTCAGATATGAAGTGCATCCCACTAAAATACTATTTAGCAGTTTAGCACCCAAAAAATTTTAAGTTTTAAAACTGTAATGTGACAGCAGTATTTGACGCTTCTATTTGACTCTCAGATATGAAGTGCACTCTACCAATGTACTATACCACTAATGTACTATTTAGCACCCAAAAAAATTTACTTTTTAAAACTCCATTGTAACTGTGGTATTTGAAGCTTCTATTTGACTCTCAGATATGAAGTGCACCCCACCCACTAATGTACTAGTTTGCAGAATTCTTTCCTAAGCTTTCCCTATCAGCGGCAGCATCCTCTCCCTACACTAATAAGACCTCATGTGCGTGTGGCGCTACGCGGCTCCAGCTTATATATAGAGGCTGGGTCACATGCTGCACTGGCCAATCACAGCCAGGCCATTAGTAGGCATGGCTGTGATGGCTTCTAAGAGCACACAAGTCAAACGCGCCATTAAATCGCCAAACACCGAACTCCAACCCGAAAATACAGTGATATGTCCGTGTTCGGGTCCGGGGTCCAAGAAATGTAATGTTCGGTACAAACCCGAACTTTACAGTTCGGGTTCGCTCAACTCTAGTCATAGACAGTGTGAGCTGAAAAATCAGGACATGATTTCTAAACTGCCACCAATCCCTAATTTTCAAGCCCACCTACACAAATCTTATATCAAAACGTTCAGCTATCCCTGCTGCCACTAAACATGTCCACGGCTAAGCCATAGTCCTGATAGTTTTCATGATATGACCATTTGCCTTCCATTGACATTCTTTGAAACTCCACACTAGCCACCTAAAATTTGAAGGGCAATTTCTAAACTGCGACTGTGCCTTCATTTTTAATATTTCAGAGACATAAAATTAAAATGTAGGTCTGGGTCTTGTGATTCTCACAGTATAAAGGATTTATAGTTTTAAAAATACGACCGTTTGAAGATGGCAACCACCAGTGAAGTGAGCAATTTGGAGCAGTTTGTTTTTAACCGCTCTTCTCTGCCCTGTTTGTAATCTATTAGTTCCTGTTGGCAGTTGGTGGAATGTTCGAGGGATTTGAAATGGCGGCTGCAGAAATCCTGTGTAACAAGGCTGCAATATGAAGATGCTGTCATATATGTATTAATAACATACATTTATATCCCTACATGGCAAGACCACTTACTATTATCTCACATATATATTATTATTCTTATTGAGCAATTTGGAGCAGTTTGTTTCTAACCGCTCTTCTCTGCCCTATTTGAAATCTATTAGTTCCTGTTGGCGGTTGGTGGAATGTTCGAGGGATTTGAAAGATTTGAAAGTTCTTCTCTGCCCTTGCTGTAGAGTGAGTGAACCACACTCCAACCTTTCCTTTCCACAGTTACTCAAGCCACTCCATCCAGTTACTCCGCCCACTCCAGTTGTAGACTACTGGTGGAGGCAAGAACACTTCACACAATTTTCCCAGAAATTGTAGCTTTTCTAGTTATCATATGTTATAGTACAGTTTCCTGCAGCGTCCTGTGCAGCTAATAGCACTGCGTTGCCTCCCAGGAAGCAGGCGGTTCAGGACGCTGAGGATGTGCGCTAGTATGGTCCGCTTGGCTTGCGCATGTCGCGAAATACTAGGGAGCAGATTGGAGAAGGGGTTTTTATTAGAGATATGTTTCCTCATGCCGCTGGGGGCCCTTTGCTTGAGAGGGAGGGTAGGGACTCCAGGAGGGACGTGGGACAAATACCATAATCGGTTACACCCCATGACGCGCGGGAATTGTGTCTGGGCATCGTATGTTCTGGATAGCATCGTCAGGGAGAGGGCTCCCAGAGTTTGCTCCATGTTGTTCTGCTGTCAGGACACTCTCTGGGACGCGTGTCGTCCCTAGGGTGAGCTGGGTTGG